TCTGTTTAAGATTTTGACATTATCCCAATCAAATTGATGTCCATGATCGTCTGAATGTATTGATACTAAAGAATTTATATCATGTCTTTTCACGGCTGATTTGTGTTCCTGGATTCTTATTCGAAGGGGACGCCCACTTTGGCCGATGCAATGTTTGTTACAGTTCACACAATTTATTTTGTAAATGGTGTTAATTTTATCTCCCTTTTCTATCGGATCTTTTGGTTTGCATAAGATGGAATTAAGCGATTCAGCTAGTTTGTGTGCTACATCTATATCAAACGGTTTCATTATTCTAGCCGTTATTTCAGAGATGTTTCTGATATATGGTAGGATGAATTGCTTTTTGGTCTTTGGTGATGGTTCTTTGTTGGTGCTTTCATTCGATTTTAAACACTTTTTGATGAAATTTTTTGGATAACCATTCTTCTTGAACACCGTTTGTAAGTATCTTTCTTCCATTCTTTTCAACTCTGGTTTATTATAATTTCAAGAATAGATACATACTTTATGCTGTGTAATGATTAAATGACTACAGTGTACACAAGATTCGTCGTGTCTATTTTTTGCAAACTCTACTATTCTAACTTACAACAATAAAAATAAAACTTAAAGTTTGTAGACTGAGGACTTAGCTCTTGCCAGACAAAAAACTTTTCTACAGCAACAAACAATCAAAATAGAAGTGAGTTTAGTGTAACTGAGTTCATTTTTACAAACCCTAGGCGCCTAATCGTAGGCAATTTTTTTCTCTTACTTCGCATTATACTGAAGAATTTGATGAAAATTCCAATTAATTCTTTTAAATTATTCTAATTACTAAACTAGTTAACCATTAAGTTTAATGGGAATAAATTTAGCTTGAAAAAATTTACGATTTTAAGGAAGTCATATTTTTAATTCTCTAGGCAGCATCATTTCAAGTACAGGAGGTAAGGGTGTGAATGTCAAAGGCAGCCAGAATTGGAAAAGCAAGAGAGACCTTCATTTATCTGAAATCAGTATGGAAATCTGCCTCACTAAGCATAGCGTGAAAGATTCAGATGTTCAACACTAGTGGCAAAACAGCCAATGCTTATATATGGTTCAGAGACTTGACACGTCACCGAAATCACTTCCAACAGGCTACTGCAGACCTTTATCAATAGCCGACTTCACTCTACACCGAAGATCAGATGTCCGGCCAAAAAGGATAAGGGACAAGGAACTCTGGTAACGAACTAACCGGGTATCTATCGGTCAACAAATGTGGCGAAGTAAATGGATGTGAGTCTGATACACGCTGAGGAGATCGTCGACTGACATCACATGCCAGGTCCTTGAGTGGAATCTGAATGGGAAATAACTACTTGGGTGTGTGTGGGAGGGTGACATGGAGGAGGTCGTATGAAGAGGAGATGAGAGCTTATGAGCATTGTTGAGCCAGCAAAAGTGTTCTATAGATGACGGAGCGAAATTAGTCAGTAGTCGTTGCCGGGTCACCTTGAACTGAATCTCCCCATATGTCTGTTTGTTAATTTCACTTTCAGATGAAAACGTGATTTGTATGAGCTGGTTCTTTCCCACGATTCTTGTATCAAGGAAGGCATTGAAATAAAAACTGAGCATAGTGTTAAATATGTCAGATTATATCTTTCCACTACCATTCACTCCCTACTTTTAGAGTGTGTTAATTCTTTTATTCTACCTAGTCTTCTTTATTGCTTTTTCCTTAATCCTTTCTGGTCCACTCAAGAAAGATTTTTTATCACTGATAAGGGCACTAAAAGCTGTGGACGTGTGAGATGTGACTAAACCAACTCGTTAATATTGTTATGTACAGAAACTTGAACTCATACGAGAAATTAGAAAATATCATCATATAAGGCTGTGAGCACGCTTTTTATACACAGTCGTCCCCCCACACCTTATCAGGTAGTAGTAGAAATAATTACAGGGCACTTAATGCTCGGTCGGCTAAATAAAATAACTCAATGGTACCTTATTTGACACGCATTTTATGTGACGAGGAAAGAGTTTTGAGTGAAATGAGTAACTTTCTGTGAAATAATGAATAAACGGGCCTTTTATTCTTTCTTTCACTATTATTGTCACTATTTGGATTATATTTTTAACTCTATATTTATAATTTTACTGATTTAATATTCTTGTAAATATTCTGGTTATCATTTCTGCCATTACTATTTAGTGTAAACAGAAAATTGGATGCACTATTTGTACTATTCGCTCAGAATTCCACATCGTGGGAGATGTACTGTTTGGAATAAAGCCGTTTCTATTATTATTGCGTTACTAGAGTCACTTCTTGTGCAACGAGTATCCGATTTTATTTATTGAGGAATAATAGTTCACGAATATGACAGACTGCCAGCTAAGATAGTCAAATTATTCTGTAACCAGTAATCTCCTGTACAGAGTATCTCATAATTAAATTTTCTATTGAAGAGCATAAACTACAGTCTAGTAAAATCAGATAATCACCTCCAGTATACATTTTATACGACTCAGTAGTCATCAAAGTGAAACTGGGATTTCCTTGACTTAGTATGTAGTCGACATCCCATAATGAAGCAGTAAGTTAGCTAATTAAACATTGTTGGTCTTCAGTTTGGTTTTAGTTGAAGTTGTGACTGTTTGTCGAAATCAGGCATGATTTTGTTTTCGAGAAAAAACTAAGCAAATAAACAATTGTTTTGCTTAATTCGCTCTTAGATTTTGTGGAAAACAATGAGTTATTATTGTTATCATTATTGATTTTATCATAGCTACTATCAGATACTAATCGGTGCTTCTACAGAAATCAATCAGCTTTATAAATCGCCAGACATAATAATTCATCTTCAAGTCTATGCAAAATGGAAATATACTTTAAGCGCTCGTTACTTTCTCTAGCTTTTCATTTCTCAAGTCTGTTTGCTTGTATTTTTCTTTTAATTTTGCTGTTTTGAATTACATGACATAGCTATAAGAAGAAGAAGTAGTGGTTGAATAGAAAATGACTTACAATATTATACTTCATGGTGTTATTCTGTAAAACAAATAATTTAAGATTATTCAAGCACGCATATATTGTCTTGAAGGAACGAATCGGTATTTTTTCTCTTCTTACCAATAGCATTATTCCGGTTTTCAGAATTTCCCCAAAGCATATCGAAACTCTAGTATTATGTTCTTTAAAATAAAGTAACACTGACGTATACCTATTCCAAAGACAAAAGGGCCTAGTAATAAGGTGCTTTAACAGAATAAAAAAAGCTGAATATCTCTTATTAGTACACAGTTTTTAACAACCTTTAAGTCTGTCTAGCTGTCAATATCCCAAAATAAATTGCTATTTTAAATCTCTAAATTTAATTAATTTTTGAAGTTGCGATCTGAAATAGTCGCTAGTCGACGGCTAAACCACTGATATAAAGATCAGTGACATTTGAACTGAACTGAATTTAATTTTCAACTTAGGACCTCGCACGATAGTACAGAAATTCATTTAGACATATTACACTAAAGCATACATCAGAATAAATAAAAGAAATGTGGTGAAACTATGACGGACGTTCAGGAGTAAGAATAATTGCATGAAGAATAAGGAAGAGCAAAAGAAGTTAGTAGATCTGAGCCATATTAGCAATACTTTCTAGCAGTATTCCATTGGCAATTCAACTACTACAGACAGGTAGTCAACACCGTCGTATGTGCCTCAAAACAATAGTCGTAGACTTCACGGATTGATTTCATGCTTTAGTTTGAAACCCACTGCCTAACTCTTTTCCATATCAATCCTAGGTCGGCTAACATTCTTTGAAGAGAAAGGTGACGGCTTTGCAAACATAAAAAATGTCCTCGTCATCTCAAATGATGTAATTTCCTTAGCCCATCGATCGCCTTTTTCCTCACTGACTTTAACAAGAGAGACAGAAAACAGACATCAGTGGTTAAAGACTGTTATCTTCTTCACATATTCCACTTTAGACGGTCATATCTCGTAGTTGTAAAGGATACAAAAATGTAGTAAGAAATGTATTTCATTGGTCAGTAACAAGAGAGTCATGTGTTTCGTATTTAGTGCTGACTCAACTGTGTCAGTCAAGTCTGCAATATAATCACCAAGCTAGATAACCCACTACTGCACTGCACTTTGAACTAGCACTAGATAGTCGGAGATCCTGCTTTGAAGTTACAGATACGCCTTGATGACGACTTCAAATAAGTCCGAGGTCTAATCCCAATTACCTTCTACCAGCCAGCAGGAAATGTACTGGATGACAGTTAGTTGATTTACAGATGAATCACTTATTTTAAGTGAAATCTGAAAGTGATTAACTAGTGTTATTTTAAAATTTGGTACTATTATTTGGTCATGATGGATCACCAATAAGAATCAACGTAACAAACACTCGCAAATTCGTCAAAACCACCATCTAAAAGGAACAACTTCCTGAAAATATTAAGCATCCGCTAAGCATGATGTAGTTATCGTAACTCAGTAGTTGAGTGAATAATTCATTACCCTTTGAAATGATGAGTATTAGATTTGTTTCTGCGTTGGAAAACTATCTTACATGTGACTTCAGTTAACTGATCTAATAAAAGACGCTATAATTGTCTTGGATTTCCCTGTTACCTTAATGAGTGACCCTAAATATAAATATAGTGGTATTTGTTAAAGAATTTCATAAGCCTCAACAGGTTGTTCACTTTAGTTTTGTAGGTTAAAAAGTGGCTAGTATCAAATATGACAATAGTAAAATCATATTCGTCATCATTGTGCAAGTGAACCTATCATGTGATTCGTCATCACTGTGCGAATAAAATCTATCATGTGTTTCATCATTATTACTTTGTCTCTTTTTAATAACTTCATCACAGTCTAATTTATGTTCATTAATAATTAATCACTCTATTGATGAAGTACTCTATATATATATGTGTTTATATACATGAGTGAATTTTATTTTCTTTCTCTTTACTCATCACTTCATTTTCTTTTATTTTGTCTTAAGGAACTCATTTGTATTTTCGTCTGTTTCACGCTTGATTTGGTTGCAATGATTGTAACAGCAGCTACTACTCATGAATCTGGAGCTGCAATCGCTTCTGCTGTAAGTTTATTTTTGAAAAATAAAATCATAGATAAATAAACAGGTCTTTATTTCTGTTTTATACACTTTGAAATGTCGTCGTTGTTACTGTTGAAATATACTTGAAAATAATTGATATTTTCATTTAATAGATTAATAAGGTCAACAGAATGTTAGACGGTCTCTTCCTGTCTCAATATCTCTCTTGTATTTTAAAATCCATCAGAACAAACATTTAAAGCACTTCGTTTCCATTGAGTCCATTGAGTAACTTGTTAGTGACAATAACTTAATTTCTCCTTCTTTCTATGAATATTTGTCTATGAATATTTCATCTATACGTCATAAAGAATTGAAATGCTTTTATTCTTCAGTTGAAAGAAAATTTTCATAGAATACCTGTTTTGATAAGAAGTATTAATTGTACTACAGATTAAAAGTGATTCAATTACCAAGCTGCTGAGCTTCCAGATTCACAATCAAAAGTATGAAATCAACCTAATGTGAATATGTTACTTTTGTCATTGAGATAAGGCTGGATCGCTGATTGTGTGACTAACTTTAAATATTGTATATTCTTCTGACTAATATGAACAGTTGCGTCGGTGGCACAGTGGTAAAATGCTCGCCAACTACGCATGAGGTTCGGGTCCTCAGCAGACGCATTCTTTTACCTCTCTAAGCTAGTAGTAGGATTAGCAAAGAGGGAAGACTGGGCGTGAGGCTATTAATCAAACCTTAGAAATAAGTACCACTGTTGCCACAACTTCAAAGATCTAGCTTGGAGCCCTATTTTCCACTAGGAACGTCAAGGAGTAAAATTAAAATTAAAAATATGAACAGCTGGAAACTATTTACATCAATCAGTAGTACTTGCTTGCCAGACTAAAGTAATCTAAGCACTGGAAAGCCATTTCTCTGATTTGGAGCCCAGCTCATCGATGTTGCACCTAGTTTGATTCAGCTCAGAACATTTTAAGTTTCCGAAGAAACTCCTGATGGTAACTTAGATCGCGGATTGATATCATTTGGGGGAACACTGAAAACCAGGAGTACTGAAAAGCTGTTTCTTTCTTGTTTGGGACTTTCCAGTTGTACGAAACCATGACCCCACTGAGACATTACCGGACACAGGACCTTCAATTTATAAGGCGAGCACGTTAATCATTCATCCACTGTGAAGAAATTAGATGGCTCATCAGTTTCAACATCTGCCGATTCGCAATATATAGAAATACCACCAGTCAATGTTATCGATAAGCTTTCACCCTCACACTCGACCTGGTGAATCCCACTTGTCACGACTTTACTCCATAACTTCAGTCAACTTCTACTTCAGCCATTAGTGAACACTGGATTAATTTTCAAGTGTTGGTTTGCAGGGATTTGATTAGTTTCACCTTAGGTCATGGATTAACATCAGTTGAAGAATCGATGAAGACTAGGATGAACTGACAGAAGATACAATTCATAGGCCCCTGGATTCCGTCTTGATGGGTGAATGGTTAGTTCGCTTGCCTCGAAACTTGAAGGTCCTTGATTCGATCACAGACGCGGTTATGGCTGTGTAATGCTGGAAAGTCCCTGCTTTTGTGCAGTCCGCCAAATGATATATCTGTGATTGAACTTGAAACCAACCAAATTCCTGCAGATATACACTTGAAATCATGAATTTTCACCTCAAACTATGTAATTTGCAAATATTACAAATTTAGCTTTTATTTGATTTTTCATGTTTAAGGCATTCAGGCTCACTTGACGTTCACTTGATATCTCCTTGGAATTATGCAATCATCGTGTGATAGTTTCATGACTCACTTTATTAGTGGACTGGGAATTTCCTAGTTATATGACCAAATCTTCTTATAAGGTTTAATATTTGATCGTTTTATGTTCACTGATCCCTTAGTTTAACAATGACAACATTTATGTTAGCTTTTTCAAATTAAGTCTCAAGTGTGAAATTTAAATTACGATTGTTATAAATACAATTTTAGACATTGCATCAATCAGTAACTGGGGCGTCACGTTTATAGTACTTAGTCGTATTGACTGAATTCTGTCAGTTCAGTTTGTAGTGTGGTTACAAAGTTAGGTAAGTCATCATCGTGGTTCGCTTTGAATTAGTGTTGGAGACAATAGGCGGTAAGCTCTGGACCCAGCTTTCATCGACACTCGTCAGCAATTCTTGTCTGGAACCTTGAAGAAACTGAAGCTGTATAGGAGGTCAATTTTTAAGACAAATTGCTCAACTGTAACGTCTCTAACTACAGAGAAGGGTGACACGGTTTTGAATTTCAAAGGGGATTTCAGTTCACTTGCGATTTCAGGTACACCCTACTAATAAGTGCCAATAAGCAAAAGACATAAGTTTATGGATTCTTGAAGAGTACATCCGATCAACAAATATGTTGTATTTTTTGGTCTTATTGTATAAAAGCTTTCTTATGAGAAATTAGAATTATCAGTTACCAGTCAGTTAGTCAGAACACTATAGAAAATTTTTGCACAATATCAATAAAGATGCCGACTTTACTATGCTTTACCATGCTGGAAACTCAGAAAATTTTTACCTAATCGTACTTAGCATCATTTTCATTAAATATTGGATAACTCTCAATTTACCTGTGAATTGCTTAATCATCTTTTACTTGTTTGTACTTTCTTCTTTATTTTAAAATTGATCTAAAAAGTATCCATCTGTTAAGATTGTTTAATTTAATACTACTTCTCTCTCTCTCTCTCTTTCTCTCTCTCTCTCTCTCTCTCTCTATATATATATATATATATATATATATATATATATATATATAGGTGAAACCACTTATTTGCTGTCCTTATACTTTTTGATAATATAAGTTCCACGTCCACTTATATTATAGATACACAGGCGCTTTTTGATGTATATTGTAACTGGGAAAAACTAATTTACCATTAAAATACATTTTTACTATGTGAACTACGTGTTAGACTAAGCAGTAACAAAAGTGAAATTATTTCATGTTGAAATTCAATTCATTCAGAATATTCCATGGCAGTTGTTAAATATTTGTAACAATAGATTAGGGTAGTAGCTATTTTCGCAAATGGTGAAACTGTCATTTACTTACCGTTAATACAGTTTTAAATAGTCAGTGAACGAATGTAATTGACCATTCTCAAGGCTAGCCCTAAAACAGTCTGCTAGTAGTGGACGCAATGGTGAGAGAACATCTCAGATGCAATTCTCTGAGATATGTTGTTGTTATTCCACTAATGAACTTGTTTTTATCTGTATATTGACATATAAAACAGATAGTTTCTGTAAGTGGGGTATTAGTGAAAAGCGATTCGACGTCGAAAGTAGTAGTAGTAGTAGTAGTAGTAGTAGTAGTAGTAGTAGTAGTAGTAGTAGTAGTAGTAGTAGTAGTAGTAGTAGTAGTAGTAGTAGTAGTAGTAGTAGTAGTAGTAGTAGTAGTAGTAGTAGTAGTAGTAGTAGTAGTAGTAGTAGTAGTAGTAGTAGTAGTAGTAGTAGTAGTAGTAGTAGTAGTAGTAGTAGTAGTAGTAGTAGTAGTAGTAGTAGTAGTAGTAGTAGTAGTAGTAGTAGTAGTAGTAGTAGTAGTAGTAGTAGTAGTAGTAGTAGTAGTAGTAGTAGTAGTAGTAGTAGTAGTAGTAGTAGTAGTAGTAGTAGTAGTAGTAGTAGTAGTAGTAGTAGTAGTAGTAGTAGTAGTAGTAGTAGTAGTAGTAGTAGTAGTAGTAGTAGTAGTAGTAGTAGTAGTAGTAGTAGTAGTAGTAGTAGTAGTAGTAGTAGTAGTAGTAGTAGTAGTAGTAGTAGTAGTAGTAGTAGTAGTAGTAGTAGTAGTAGTAGTAGTAGTAGTAGTAGTAGTAGTAGTAGTAGTAGTAGTAGTAGTAGTAGTAGTAGTAGTAGTAGTAGTAGTAGTAGTAGTAGTAGTAGTAGTAGTAGTAGTAGTAGTAGTAGTAGTAGTAGTAGTAGTAGTAGTAGTAGTAGTAGTAGTAGTAGTAGTAGTAGTAGTAGTAGTAGTAGTAGTAGTAGTAGTAGTAGTAGTAGTAGTAGTAGTAGTAGTAGTAGTAGTAGTAGTAGTAGTAGTAGTAGTAGTAGTAGTAGTAGTAGTAGTAGTAGTAGTAGTAGTAGTAGTAGTAGTAGTAGTAGTAGTAGTAGTAGTAGTAGTAGTAGTAGTAGTAGTAGTAGTAGTAGTAGTAGTAGTAGTAGTAGTAGTAGTAGTAGTAGTAGTAGTAGTAGTAGTAGTAGTAGTAGTAGTAGTAGTAGTAGTAGTAGTAGTAGTAGTAGTAGTAGTAGTAGTAGTAGTAGTAGTAGTAGTAGTAGTAGTAGTAGTAGTAGTAGTAGTAGTAGTAGTAGTAGTAGTAGTAGTAGTAGTAGTAGTAGTAGTAGTAGTAGTAGTAGTAGTAGTAGTAGTAGTAGTAGTAGTAGTAGTAGTAGTAGTAGTAGTAGTAGTAGTAGTAGTAGTAGTAGTAGTAGTAGTAGTAGTAGTAGTAGTAGTAGTAGTAGTAGTAGTAGTAGTAGTAGTAGTAGTAGTAGTAGTAGTAGTAGTAGTAGTAGTAGTAGTAGTAGTAGTAGTAGTAGTAGTAGTAGTAGTAGTAGTAGTAGTAGTAGTAGTAGTAGTAGTAGTAGTAGTAGTAGTAGTAGTAGTAGTAGTAGTAGTAGTAGTAGTAGTAGTAGTAGTAGTAGTAGTAGTAGTAGTAGTAGTAGTAGTAGTAGTAGTAGTAGTAGTAGTAGTAGTAGTAGTAGTAGTAGTAGTAGTAGTAGTAGTAGTAGTAGTAGTAGTAGTAGTAGTAGTAGTAGTAGTAGTAGTAGTAGTAGTAGTAGTAGTAGTAGTAGTAGTAGTAGTAGTAGTAGTAGTAGTAGTAGTAGTAGTAGTAGTAGTAGTAGTAGTAGTAGTAGTAGTAGTAGTAGTAGTAGTAGTAGTAGTAGTAGTAGTAGTAGTAGTAGTAGTAGTAGTAGTAGTAGTAGTAGTAGTAGTAGTAGTAGTAGTAGTAGTAGTAGTAGTAGTAGTAGTAGTAGT